ATGAAGTGCCCTCTCCTCATCACATATCAGGAGGTGCATAATATCCACATGACATTACTGGTGATGTTAACCATCACTTGGTTAAGATAGTGTTTGCCAGATTTCTCCATTGTAAAGATACTATTTTTTTCTTTTCATACTATATCATTTAGAAGTACAGGCATACCTTGGAGATGCTGCAGGTTCGATTGCAGACCACCACAATAAAGCGAATATCACAGTAAAGTCAGTCACACAAATTTTTTGGTTTGCCAGTACATATAAAAGTTATGTTTATGCTATACTATAGTCTATTAAGTGTGTGATATCATTATATCTAAAATAAAATGTACATACCTTAATTTTAAAATACTATATTGCTAAAAAATACTAACCATTCTCTGACAATGCAGGATTGCCACCAACCTTCAATCTGTAAAAAATGCAGTATCTGCAAAGCTGAATAAAACAAAGTACAATAAATTCCTGAAAGTCATGAAGTCAAGCATACCCTCAAGGCACAAGGGGAATTATACCTCAGTTCTGGAGGGGGGAATATCTACATATATTAAGGAGGTTTGCCTCCTCTTTCCCATTTATTTAATAAATCAGTATGGACTTAATGTATATTTATTTTATATCTGGATTACATTCAATATTACATTATATATTTTGTTGCTCAAATTGTTCCAGTTGGCCTTTGGGAATTCTTTCAGGTTGGCTTCTGTGTCCCTTGCACATGTCCCCATCCTTTTGTCTTTTGAGCACTTCTTTAATTTTTGGTAATACAAGATGCTCTAGGCTCATGTTATATTTTCCCTGCCACAGCCATAAGTCAGCCATTTCTCCAAGGAGCCCTGGTTGTTCTTACTGGAGAATGATATTTAGAAAGCAAGATCTAGATTCTAGGCTATATGGAAATGTATTATTTGATAAAATGGTATTTCAATTAAGAGAAGAATTATGATTTAGCTAATAAATGGTGCTAGCTATTCATATAACCCATCAAAAAAATTAAGCTTCTGTCTTATTACCATTTGCTAAAATGTAAGAATTTAAATCTATCTGATTAAAAGGTATGACTATTAAAGCAATATTTTACAAAATGTAACTTGAGTGTAGAAATTAAGGAGAATCTTTCTTAAGCAGTAATCCTAAAAATCATAAAGGAAAAGATGAACATTTTTCTGAATAAATTTTTTAAATATGGTAATAGACAAAAAGTAAAAAAGGAAATGATAAGGTAGGAAAATGAGAAACAGGCGGTGTCTAACTATCCAAGGAGCTCCTGCAAATTAATAGCATAATGATAATCCAATAGGAAATGCACAAAGATCAATTAGTCGAAGAGGAAGTTAATAGACATGTGAAAATGGATTTAACTTCACTAGTTAGGGAGATCCAAATTAACCGTAAAATATATTTCATTCAGATTGTAAGTATTTCAGACAGCAATAATATACAGAGCTGGCAAACAGAGAAGCAGAAACCCATGTATTTTGAGTGGATATATCTTTGTATGAGCATGAAGAAAAATCTGAAGGAATATACCCCAACCTGTTTATATTGGTTAATTTGGGAGTGAAAATGAGGACGAAGTAGAAGATATCATTAACCTTTAAAAATGTAATCTACATGCTGTTTAAACTTTTTTTGGTTAGCTTATTTTGTTAAAATTTAAAATGATAAAATCAAGGTAATTAAAAAAAAAAAAAAATTGCAGTAGATTAGGTAAACGATGGTAGTGACCTGAACCAGGATAGTAGCTGTGGAGATGGAGACAAGTGAATGTACCTGAGATATATTTTGGAATTAGAATTAATATTACTGGATGATGAATTGGAAGACAGTGATAATGGAAAACAGACTCAAGGATGGCCATTGGATTTCTGGCTTGAGTAAGTGGATGGTATTATTATATACTGCAGTGGGGAATCCTCAGGTAGAACCAGGAGTGGGGAAGAAAATTTGAAGTTCCGTTTGAACATATTGAGGTGTCAATGGGCTATCCAAATGGGATGACAAATAGTCAGTTGGATATATGAGGCTGGAATTCAAAGGAGAAGTATAGGCTGCAGATATAAACTTGGGACACATCAGTCCTCTTCTAAGGATTTATCATGTAAAAATAAGCCCCACAGATATATACACCAATATATACAAAAATGTTATTGTACCATTGCTGCTTATAGCAAAAATTATAAATAACCCAAACATTCAGAAAAAATTTGTTAGACTATTCTTGGTATTTAAAAAGATTATGAAGAATTTCTATACAAACTGACCAAAGAGATAATCACATTTTGTTAAATTTTTAAAAGCAAAGGACAAAAAGTAAGTTGCAGAGTACTTCCAGTAACAATGGGTAGGTAAAGAAATCACAAGGATTTTTCTCCTGTTTTAATCTAGAATATTTATAATTTTAAAATTAAATGTAATTACACTTAATGTATAACCCATTTTGTGTGTGGTGTAAAATAAGGATTGTATTCATTTTTACTTGCATATAGGTACTGTATCCAGTTTTTCCAGCACCATTTGTTGAAAACATTTTTCTGTGTTGAATTACCTTAATACTTTGCTGAAAATTAATTGAATTTGTATTTACATATGTGTATACATATCTTTGTATCAATATCTCTGTATATATTTATGTATCTATAAAAATATATACTAAGAAACAGCAGCAGCTATCACAGGAGAGAAAATGTTGGCATTTTGAATCCAGGCACTGCCAGAAGAAGCCCCCCAAATCAATAATCCTCAGAAGAAAAAAAGTGGAATCCACGGTCACTACAGTATACGAACTTCAATGTCCAGTTTTCAATTAAAAATTACTAGGCATGTAAAGAAACAGGAAGAAAAGTTTGGAGAAAAGGCAGTCAATAGAAAAGGACTCAGGGTACCCAGATGTTTGATTTAGAAAAGACTTAAAGCATCTCCTTTATTTTGTTGAAGTGCTAATTATATTGATTAATGTTTGAGTGCTACATCTACCTTGGGTTCCTGAGATAAATCTTATTTGATCATGAAAACTACATATTTTTTCCACTTTTTCATGAAAACTGTACATTGTTTTTAAAATTGTGTTTCATATAAGATCTTACCTCCATGGCAAATCACAAAAGCTACTGAGATTAGCATTCTTTCTTCTGTTATTTTGGGTAAAAAAAAAAAAAAAAATCAAGAGTTTTGCACTAAAATATCAGCTCCATAAATGTAGAGACTTTTGTGTGTTGTATCCCTAATGACTAGTATAGTGTCTGACATAAGAGTAGGTGCTCAATATTTATTGAATAAATGACTTAAAAACATGCTGAAATTAGTAGTTGGCTCTGTGGAGTAAGAATTGCAGAAAAGGGCCTGATTGTATGAAACTAGTTATTAATTTTTTTATCTATATTTTAAGATTTCTTAATAGAAGTTCAGTAGAAGTAAATAGAATAAATTCATCAACACTAGCTAAATATTGACATATGTCGTGAATTTTTAAATTTATTTATTTATGGCTGTGTTGGGTCTTCGTTTCTGTGTGAGGGCTTTCTTTAGTTGTGGCAAGCGGGGGCCACTCTTCATCGCGATGCACGGGCCTCTCACTATCGCGGCCTCTCTTGTTGCGGAGCACAGGCTCCAGACGCGCAGGCTCAGTAATTGTGGCTCACAGGTCCAGTTGCTCCACGGCATGTGGGATCTTCCCAGACCAGGGCTCGAACCCATGTTCCCTTCATTGGCAGGCAGATTCTCAAGCACTGCGGCACCAGGGAAGCCCTGTCGTGAATTTTTAAATGTAAGATACAAGAGGGGATTTAAATTTATGGATTAAAATTACTTCTAGGGCATAATATCAGTTAAAAATATATAATGGGTGACTACATGGCTTTAAAATATTTTTTAAAGTTTTTGAATATGTGGTCTTTCAATTATCTGACTCTATAACTTTATAGTTATAGTCTATTGATATTATAGTTATAGTCTATTGATTAAGCAGACACTCAAAGGAAAACAATGACCACAGTTACGTATTAATGATTTAGGCCCCTGCGAAAGATATCAGAGGTTGCTAAGCAAAGCATATATTTGTTATTTACAGATTGCATAGCATGTTATTAACCTTTTGGTCACTAGAGGGTACTGGTGTTTCAGACCAACAATTCAGACTTTTTCTACTCTGACACCAAAAAAATGCCAATCAGAATCCAACTGCCAGCATTCTATTGTGTGACTCTTCAGATCCCCCATTACTTGTTTGCAAAGTGAATAGCTACAACTTAGGATGGGATGAAGCAAAAAGGAGGAAAGTGTTACACAAAAGATCTTAAATGCAACACATTTAAAGCATTGGTGTAGAGGTGAGTTAAGAGAGGCTAACATTAATTCTTCGATAACTGTATGTTCTTATGCTTGTATCTCTTATGAAATCTAATTTGTGTATACTGCAATGGGGGAAACAAGTTTCAAAGAAGTCAAATATTCATAAAAATGAGAATAATTTTTGATGTAACTGGCTTTGCTTTCTTTGATGTATGAATCATAAAAAGGTCTTAAATTTTAAAATAAAATACATAGTCACACTAGAATTTTATTGCTGTAACATTAAATTTTGACATGTACTTTCATCCCATTGTTTTGGATAAAGCTTGTACCTAAAAATACCATCAAAATTATTTTACTTTTCAAAGGACATTTTAGAAAAACATTTTCCCAAGTATGGGTTTGAGAGTAATTGAAATTAATAAGACAAAAGTTTGGGGAAAGATTTAAAAGGCAAACCACTTCATTCCTTCCTAGCTATTGTTTTCATTAGAAACATGACATTTTAAAAGAGAAATAAATTTCAAAAGTGTAAAAAAATTTTAACAGTAAAACACAAAGTGAAATTAGTGATATGATTAATGTATGTTGTTAAAATAGAGTTTACATTACATTTTTGCTTTTTTCTCCTTTAAAAACTATATAGCCCTATAATGATTTTTTCTTTTTTCAAACTCTCATAAAGAATCAAAACAACAGCATAGAAGGAAAGAATGCAGGGGAACATATTCCATTCTCATTTCCTACCACTGATTTACACCCAGTAAGAATATCAACATGAAGAACTGAACTGACCGGGGCTTGCTCTGAAAGTCAAGCTGAAGTCTGAGTAATGGTCTTCATAGTGCTATATGATTAGGTCTAATTTCTTAAATATGAGGAAAAATGAAGTTTGTAAATTTTAAGATCTTTTCATTTCCCGGTCAAGAGGCAGAAAAACCAGGCTTTCCCTAGATTTGAGAACAGCTGGTCTTACCACTGATTTTCACCTGTTGAGAGTGGTTATGGTACCTATGTAAAGAAAACTGTGCTTCAAATAAGAAGATGGAGAATGGAGAATTGCTGAAAGACTTGGGCACATCCTTTAATTTCATGGAGCCTCAGTTACCTCACCTTAAAAGGGGAATAATAATAATAGCAACAGGACCTTGGAGGATGTCTGAAAAAGAATGGGAAAATGGTTGTGAAACATAAAATATTGGCTTAGTAAAAGATGTTACTAGGCGATTATGCCCATTTTCACTACATGTGAAGGCCTACATAACATCTAAATGCAGTTTCCAGTCCTAATTGCATAGGAATGGGCCAGGGGTGGAGAAAGATAGTTGGAGACTTTGTAAGAACTCGCCTTTTCCCTCCGCCCCACCCCGCCTTCACTCCCAAGGGCAAGCAACCTTTGATTTCAATATCTCAGATGCACTGAGATAGTGGAAGAGTGAGGTAGTGAGTGGCTGCCACCTGCCTCTAGTCACTTTTGCCCTAGCTAACTTTTTTTTTTTTTTTTTTTAATGAAGGAGAAGAATTTAGGCGGGGGATGGGGGTAGGTTTGTAGTTGGGATTTCTTTATTTTTGAATTCGACCATCTGATTTTATTTTGTTTTCCTGTACCTATCCCCTTAAATCTCAAGGCACTATTAGTTTTATAGTTTCAGTGTGCCCCTGGGGACAGAGCAGCTTGGTCCGCTCATGATCATGCTAGAGTCCCGAAGCAGAAAGGGAAAAATGTTCAGGCTCATCTATGCAACGGGAGAGTGTTCTGCTTAGATTGCTCAGCGTCAGGTGAATGACACTTGCCAGGGTTACAAAAGAGCTTCAGGAGGAAGACCTGGTCCTTGCACAAGCTTCTGTGGATGGAGAAGGGGGAGGGCCGGCGCTCAGGTCCGCCTTGGCAACTTGGCTGAGGTGGGGTAGACCAGGGAGACACTGTAGCCCCCGCCGCCCACGGACGCTCCTCTGGCAGAGAACCGGAGGAGGCGCGGAGCCGGGCACGGCGGCCTGGCTGGGCGTCCGCTCTGGCCAGGAGTTGGAACATTTCGAGAGGAGTCCTTCGGGGGATTTGCCGAGCCCAGGCGGCCAAGGCATTGGTCGCGCAGCAGCCGAGAGAGGCGCTCAGTTTCTGCCGCATCCCCTCCCACAGCACTTTGGCCGACACCCACGGGCGCCCCGCCCCCCTCGGGCTTATAGGACCGGCCGGGCACCTCCACACGCCTGGGAGCCGGACGCATCCCGGAGCCGACTGCGCGGCTGCCTGTGTCTCCGGAAAGACCCGCCGCCGCTGCCGAAGTGGCGAAGTGAGGCGGCGGCTGAGCCCCGCATCATGGAGGGCAGCTCCGCCGCGGCCCCAGCCCCAGCCCCAGTCTCCACCGACAACCGCCGCCTCCCGCGTCCGGTCTGCCGGCTCTCGTCGCTGCTCTCAGAGCTCCGTTCCTTCCTCACCTCGAAGACAGTATGAAGGAGACGCGGGGCCATGAGAGTTCCCCTTCCTGCACGCGCCTCAACCACTCCTACCCCGGCATCTGGGCGCCGCAGCGCTCCGCTGAGACGCGGAGCAACCTAACGCGTCCCGTGGAGCCCGGCGAGGATTTCGGCTCGGTGTCTGTAGCCTTCCCGATGACCATGCTGATCACTGGCTTCGTGGGCAACGCGTTGGCCATGCTGCTCGTGTCTCAGAGCTACCGGCGCCGGGAGAGCAAGCGCAAGAAGTCGTTCCTGCTATGCATCGGCTGGCTGGCGCTCACCGACCTGGTCGGGCAGCTGCTCACCAGCCCGGTCGTCATCGTCCTGTACCTGTCCCACCAGCGCTGGGAGCAGCTCGACCCGTCTGGGAGGCTGTGCACCTTCTTCGGACTCATCATGACCGTCTTTGGGCTCTCTTCGCTCTTCATCGCCAGCGCCATGGCCGTCGAGCGGGCGCTGGCCACCCGGGCGCCGCACTGGTACTCGAGCCACATGAAGACGAGCTCCACCCGCGCCGTGCTGCTCGGCGTGTGGCTGGCGGTGCTCGCCTTCGCCCTATTGCCGGTGCTGGGCGTGGGTCAGTACACCATCCAGTGCCCCGGGACGTGGTGCTTCATTAACACCGGGGCAGGGGGCAATGGGACTAGCCCTTCGCACAACCGGGGCAACATTTTCTTCGCTTCTTCCTTTGCTTTCCTGGGGCTGTCAGCGCTGGCAGTCACCTTCGCCTGCAACTTGGCCACCATTAAGGCCCTAGTGTCCCGCTGCCGGGCCAAGGCCACGGCGTCGCAGTCCAGCGCCCAGTGGGGCCGGATCACGACCGAGACGGCTATCCAGCTCATGGGGATCATGTGCGTGCTGTCGGTCTGCTGGTCGCCGTTGCTGGTAGGTAGTTGCAGAGCGTGGGGCGTTCGGGGTGGGAGCGTGCGCGCCGGCGGGCAATGGAGACTTTTGGAAATGGCAGCACCTGCAGGGATGTGTTTGCAAGCACAGAAGTTTGGAGAGGGCTCTGCCTGTGCCATCTTGGTCGCGGGTTCAGAGCTGAGCTCCTCACTTACTTGCTGAGCCCCTTCCAAGTGCCAGGCATCGCATTAGGCTCTGATTGTACACGCATGGGGACCACAGGGCTGCTCACGTTCTAACCGGAGAGAGTAAGAGGATACCCAGGTATCATTTCAGTGCTTGTGCAGAAATAGAGGTTTCTCCCGGGTGCATTGGGAGCAGGATGGCGATGACAACGGTAGCTCGGTGCTCTGGGTGTTCTCCTATTTCAAATACCTCTCGCAGGTTGAGTCGATTTTCAGTCTGCAGAAGTACTTTACCTGCGACCCACTGCAGACAGGCACAGCCGTCTTGCAGTCTCTGAGCCACTGCTTGCCCTCCCGGAGCAGCCAGCGCTCACGTTGCTTACAGGCTCACTCCTGAAGGAAGGCAGGACAGTGAAGAAGCATCCTGCCGCTCAGGCAGCCTCAGTCCCTTCGAATTGTGCTGCATCCTCTCCCTCTAGGAAATGCTTGAACCGACAGTCAGCCAGTGGGCCCTGAGACTTGGTAACTCCCCCTGACCAGCCTTTGCTTGTCCTTGTGGCTACCGCGCAGGGCTGATGGCAAGGCCAATCCTGGGATAGGAAGTAGAGGTTCCTGCACTTCTTGGCTCCCCACGAGGGCCACAGCTCGGGAGCAAGTGAGTTTCCACATGCTCCTAGTCTAACGCTCTCTCTTACATTCGTACTTTCCATGTTTTCCTCTGGGATACTTTTAGCTAGACATTTTGTGTAAGTGCTGTTTACTAATTCCTGATGAATGGTTGCTTTTTTAGGCCCCAAGCAGCCTGGTTTAGTAGATGTTCCTGAAAGAGCGATCTGGTCACTGTGACAGGGTTATAACAGGTGATATATTGGACCTGGAAATTTATTAGACAGTTGTGAAAAACTCCTGAATCCCATGGCACGGTTTTCAGAACCCACCCACGTATATTTTTTCTTTTTGTTTTCTTTTCTCTTCTTCTGTGTTTTAAATTTTTTGGACAGGCACAGCGGCACCCAAGATCTTACTTCCCCCCACCAGAGATGGAACCCGTGCCCCCTTCATTGGCACCATGGAGTCTTAACCACTGGACTGCCAGGGAAATCCCATAGTTTTCTTTTTTTAATTGTGATAAAATACACATAACATGAAATTTGCCATTTTAATCACTTTTAAGTGTACAGTTAAATGGTATTAAGTATATTAACATTGTTGTGCACCATGTATAGTTTTAAATCCCTGCTATTTTATAAGAGAACTGTAGTTCCTTTTCCCTCTCACCCTCCCCTGCATTTGACAACAAAGATATTATAAAATACCTGTATTTAACTGGTGTAATATATTTAGAGCAGGAGTCTTGGCTCCCAATCAGTAATAGATGGTGACAAGGAGAGTTATGTTGGAACCTCATAGCCCACAAATCGCTGTAAGGTCTCAGTTCTGCATTCCGGGAGCTAGAACCTAGGCTGATGTCATCACCATGGCTTATCAAAGCCAGCACCAATTTTAGACATATTTACTTCTGTAGTGTGTAGGTGGCCAAATAGAAGGAAAAAAAGTTCTAAATAATAAGCACTTTGCTAAAGTTGATAATTAACATAACTTTAAAGGCAAACAGAGTATTTGAATTTTTCACAACAGTCATTTGAGGCCGACATATCTGAGTTTGTTCTATCACACTCTTTATATCTGTACTCTATATATCCAAGAAAAAAGGTAAATGATACAAATAAAATGCTTACTTATACAGTTAACCAGACTTATAGTTGATTTTTTTTTTAAGTAGAAGAGAAACTATGTAGTGTGGTTTTTATTTCAAAACTTTTGATCCTAATATGATAAGCATAGCAACCTTAGGAAGACTTTAGATAAGTTCTGAAAATTGCAATCTAGGATGGCCAAACTCACTCTCTTAAGAAAGACTGTATTTGGAATTCATCTTATTTAATTTCAATTAATAGCTGCAATTAAAATATTTGTTGGTTTGCTGCATTTTATCAGATACTTTATTCATTCAGTTCTCATAAAAACATTAAACTTAAATTCAACATGTCATCGTATCAAAGAGAAGAAATTCGTGGTTTCCAAAATAGGTATTTTTTAAACTAAAGGAAATTATTCTATCTTCTGTTTTGTGCACCATTGAAATTAAATCTCCAACTATCTTCAGAAAGATATACAGTACAAAGTTGGAATTATTTCAAAGGAAAGAAGCTGGCAAAACTGCTTTCTTAATAGGTTAGGGAATTATAAGAATGAAAACACTAGAATTTAGTGAATTGAATTTTCAGTGTATTAATGTTGAAGTGAGAGATTGTCTTTTATACTTTTTTCTAACTATAAAACATAGATTCCCTATTAGCTTTCTCTGAATTGGGCATAGGATACTAATCTAATTATCCAAACTCCTTACTTAAAAAGACCCTGAGTATATCTTATCTTGGAAAACTATCATGACTATAATAATATTCAGTTGTCATTGCTGAAAAACTTAGCAGAGTAGAGATACCATAATAAGAAAACATCCCAACTGCTACAAGTTCCTGCTATGCAAATACTTAAATTGAGGGTTTATCTACGGTGCAAACAAAAGCTTTTTTACCTTTTTTTTTTCCAGAAACTTTACAAAGTACAATAGAAAATGTGAAATTAAGTGAGACTACAGTGGGAAATGATGTCACCGTTGGTAGATGGACTACAGTTCTTAGTCGATATTTATATGAGGCATCAAATTCTGTTGGAATCAGACAGTTGACTCAGCAATGCAATCTGTTTGACTTATTATTTTCGTTACATTTTTTGATGAACTCACCAAATAGTCCAGCTGTTTGACTTGAAGCCAAGTTTCCAGAAGCAGGAATAACCTGAGGCTGTTGTTTAGAGGAAGCCATGACTACATTTTATACTTTTGTACACCTGGTACTCCTCAAACAGGTAGAACATGGGCTGTAGCTGTCTTAAAAATAGTAGATGTAAAGTCAACATTGTGAAAAGAGAGGTATGAGGAAGAGTTTCTTGTCTACAACTTTGGAACTGGATAAAAGCAGTCTTAGAAACTTTTGCCTTTAATCTTGAACTAGCAAATTCCCTGCTCAACATCCACAGATGCCGACAGGGATGCTTTGATTCAAGGAGATGTTTTGCAATATAGATGTAAGTTTTCTTTTAATTTAAGGTTATATTTTGACAAAGGAAATTTGTCTTAAATATACTTCATGTGATAAATAGATGCAATACATTATTTTACAGAAGTAATGCTATTTTATAGTATTAAAAATATTATCAAATTGCTAATTTTCTCTGCCTATTAATTTCTGCCATGTTCGGGATGTTGCTTCAGGGAAAATGATTAAACATGTGAATCGACATTATAGGAAAAAACTTCTATAATTTGTTTTTATAAGAATTGAGATTACTCAGACTTTTTTTTTTTTTTGAGTTTACTACAATACATTTTAAGCACTATGGAAGGGATATTAAGTAGACTTATTAACAACTGGTCAAAGCGTTATAATCTGTTCAGAGAAGTAGAATTCCTACATTTATGAGTGAAAAACTTAGAGAACAATACAAGATTGGATGTAATTAATAGTGCCTTTGGCTCTGGGAAGAAAGTCTCTCTGAATTTGCCAGAGTAGGCTTCCAGGAAGAACTGGGATGGCATAGCTTGACCTCATGGCTGAGAATGTGTGTGTCTGTGGACCCAGCCCATGAATACAGAGGGTGCACACTGGAACCACGGGAGGAATGGTTTGAAAAGGTTCCTGTGGCCGGATTGAGGTAGTTAGGATGAACACAGGATGAGGACTGTGTTCTCTTGCCAGTAGGCCATAGAACCTTTATTTTGGGTTTTTGAATAGGGGGATGAGTTTTGAAAACATTGGCAGGGCTGTAGTGTGTGGATAGATTTGGACTGGAAGATGGGAAAGTGAGATCAGTTACAACTTGCTTCTGCAGGTGGGTTAGGCTCTAAGAGTAGATACTGTGGGAAGAGATAAGTCAGAGAAAGAAAGGTAAGAGAGAACTAATGCTGTTAGAAATGGTCAATTTAAGGAGTGATTGATTCACCAAACATTTCTTACACATCTACTGTGTCCTATTCTTTGAGGTGAATATTTTCACATATATTACCTCATTTAACTGCATGCTGTGAGATTGCCACTATTTTCTACATCATTCAGATGAAGAACTCAAGTATAAAGAATATTAGAACCAGATTTCTAATTCAAGATATCTGACTCTGAGTTTATTTTTAATTTTTTATTGTTGTCGTTGATCTGTTTGTTTAGCTTAGATAAAGGCCAAGAATTCTGATCCTAATAGTAGTACTGGGCAAGTTATGTATCCTCTTATCTGTAAAGTGCAAAAGTAGAGCTAATATCTAAGGTCTTTTTCCATTTGTTATGCTCAGGAGAATTATGAGAGATTTGGGAGAATCATAGTTTAATGATCCAGAATGAGAAGTTTGGGAAGGAGACTGCTTGGTCAATTGTTTTTTTATAAGAATGGGGGCTTCTAGGGTTTTGGGACACCATGCATATGGAGATGGCAGATTATCTAAATGATATATCCAGAAGCAAGTATAACTTGAAAATTAATGGCATAAATCAGGGCTTAAAAATGTAGATTTTTTAAATTTTGAGTTTGTCAGAGAGAGCCAAGAATTAAACAAATTCTTAAGCCATCATATTTGAAGAAATTCAGATGGTCTAGAGTTGTAGCATAATTGTGACTCCCTGGCCTTTCTCTTTTGAAAAAGCTGTAAAGGTCAATAACTCAATTATGAAAGTTTCCATAGGATCAGTTTTCTGGGAATAACACTCAGGAATATGCACTACAGGCATTTGTAACAGAGGATGA